TGTCCTTCAGTGTGGGTCCCTCCACTAGAGCCTGATTAACCTACTAAGAGTCCCATGCTTAAAAGAGATTGTCTATGCCCCTCCCAGCAGCCATCTGTTGCTACAATTTCCCTATGTGAGGTTGAAGCCTCTTACCCCCTTCCTCATGTCTATGTTGGGATTTTGTCTTATTTGAGCTTGCATGGGACTTGTGCATGCTGTCACCATTGCTGTGAGTTCATATGAGTAACTGACCTACTATCTAGAAAACTCTGTTTCCTTGTGGTCATCCCTCACCTCAGGCTCTTACAATCTTTCTGCCCTCTCTTTCACAATGATCCCTGAGCCTTGGGACATGAGTTTGATATAGGTGTCCTATTCAGGGATACACACTCTGCAGCCTCTTATTCTCTTCACATTGGCCAATTGTGGGTTTCTGTGTTAATCACCATCTGTAGCATAAGGAAACTTATCTAGTGAGGGATGTATTAATCCATACATATAATAATAAGTCACTAAGAGTCAATTTAATATGATAACCATTTAGTAGAAAAACTAGTGTTAGGGTCTCCCCTATGTCCTGTGACCTGTCTAGCCTCAGGTTCTTAAACCTGTTATCGGTGTCAAGTATGAGCTCCATCCTAGGAAGCAGACCTTAAAATCCAATTAAAGAGTGGTTGGTTACTCCTATAATATTTGTGCCACTGTTGCACCAGTGGCACATCTTGTCAGGCCAGCTGTTACTATAGTTCACAGGATTCATAGCTGGGTGAGGCTGATAATTATTTTTCCCTTCCCACAGCATGCATAGCACCTTCCAGCACTATAAACTCTAGCCAGTGGAGATGAGGCTCTGAGGTCAGCCCTAGCTTGATTTCTCCTTGCTTGTTCTGCAGTTCAAGTATATAGTGTCTTCAACAATAGGGTCTTACCATCCAGGCATACCACTCTTGGATATACCCAAAAGACTCTATGCCTTACTACAGAAATGCCCGTTTGTCCATATTCACTGCTGCTCTTTTCATAACAGAAATTGGAAACAACCTAGATGTCTATCAACTGATGAACGGATAGTGAAGAAGTGGTACATACATACAACAGAATATTATTCAGCTCCTAAAAAACTAAAATTATGAAATTCCCCAGTAAATGGATGAAATTGGAAACAATCATCCTGAGTGAGGTAACTCAGACTCAGAAAGACAAATGTCACATGTTCGCTCTCATAGCTGGATGCTAGTTTTGAAATCTTAGATATGTGTGTTTCAATTTGAAAATTCAGAGAGGCTGAGAAACTAATAAATGGCCATTGGTGGGTGGCAGGGAGCAACTTCCTATGAGGGGTGGTAGAATTCAGTGATATGAGTGTTAAAAGGGAACATTAGACTAGAACAGGTTAAATGAGGTGGGGAATTGGAGGGTAGGACAGAGGAGGGACTATGGGAAGGGATAAGTAACACTAAAGGCCTTCATAAAAATCCATATGGAAACCTGTCACTGTAGAAGCTTCTTAAAGTATATACATATACATCATAAAATGAGATTAAAAGGAGTTATCATATAACAGGGAAACAATGCTGTTTCTAGACATCATAGGCTAATGAAAAAAATCCTCAATGCCAGGAATGGAATCCCTATCTCTAGAAGCTGTTGACCAGGGTTTCCATAGGCCCTCAAACAATACTGGCTATTGCTCCTGCCCTTGGTTGCCAACCAGGACTGCATGGTAAGACCCTAACTGTGTTAACTTAATCTTTTAATTTTTATTTTATGTGTATGGGTGTTTTGCCTGCATGTATGGAAATGTATCTATGTATACAATGCCCATGGAGGCCAGAGGAGGACATCAGATCCCCTGGAAAAGGTGTTATAAGCTCTCATGTGGATGCTGGGAACCGAACCCAGGTCCTCTGCAAGAGAAGTCAGTGTTCTTAACCACTGAACCATTTCTCCAGTGGTCATCTCACTCACTGAGTGAGTGAGTCCCACTTTTCAACAATTATCTACTAAGTATGCACCACACGAAGGCCAGTTTCAGACAGAGGTAATGTCAGTGATAAAGAAAGCAATGCAATGATGTGTTGACAGCTTTGGTCAAATGTTGAGCAAGGAATCAAGATAAATCTAGTCTTACAGGTGGATGCTGGGTTGCCTGAAGTGTTGGACTCCTCCCCCTGTGGTCATTCCTCATATTTCATCACGCTGAATATCCCAACACTAAATTCCCAACCACTTCCAGGCCCAAACATCTGACTTCAAACACCCAACACAGTGAAACCACACTAAGCCAGTGAACTCTCCCACTGTTGCTCTTCCACATGGCAAGGATGCCTGCACTCCTCACATCACTGGATTCAAGGTCTGTTACCTTCCACTCCTCAGCACCCGTCACAAGTTTAACGTCTCCTCCTATCCAAAGCCTCTAAGAAATTTAAGGGCCAGTGGCCCCTTCCTTTTCTAAATTTGATACAATATGCATACATTCATATTCTTGCATTACAGACTCATTCCTATTGGGCTAGCTTTGTGTATCTATCAGAGGACCATGAACAATGAAAATGTGAATTCTACAAAGAACACAGTGAAATCAAGCTGGTTCTGACCTTGAAGCATCATGTCTATTGACTAACTGTCATAGTACTACTAGAAGGTGCTATACATGTTACTGGCAGAGAAAGGAAATCACCAACCTTACCCAGCTGTGAATGCCGCAAACTACAATAACCACTGGCTTCACAAGACATGCCCAGTGGTGCAATGGTGTCACAAATGCTAAGTGAGTAAGCACCCACCTTCTGATTAGATTGTAAGCCCTCTTCACAAGATAGAGCCCATACACAGCACTGTTATGGGGGCCAAGGACCTGTGGGTAGAAAGGCCACAGGCGAGAACCTACTACTATTATTCTGCTAAAAGAACATAGCATTAGACTGACTCCTAATGATTTATAATTATACCCACAGATTAATACATCTCTCAGCTCTTTCTAGAGAAGCTTCTTCTTGCAGCAGATGGCAATTAACATAGAGACCCACACTTCGTCAATGTGCGGAGAATAAGAGACTGCGGCGTTCTCTTCCATAAATGGGATACCAATACCACACATTCTCCTCTGAAGGCTCAGGGATCGTTGCAAGGTAGGAGGCAGGAAGATTGTAAGAGCCGGAGGTGGTGAACAACTACAAGTAAACAATGTTTTCCACACAGCAGGGCTGTTGCACAAATGAACTCACAGCACTTGTGGGAGTATACGCAAGACCTATGCCAGCTTGAGTCAAACAAAATCCCAACATGAATGGGAGAGGTGGGCAAGGAGCCCCAGCCCTAGCCAAGGAACTATTGGCAATTGATTGTTGCTGGGAGGGGGAGAGTCAGTTTCCTTCAAGGGTGTTACACTAGGTAGGCTGTCCAGGCTCCAGGGGATTGACGCATACCCAATATACAAAATCGAACCCATAGGCCTTAAGAATTGTATAATAGTGGACATGAAGTCAGGAGGGTGTAAGGTAGGAGAAGCTGGGGAGGAGGTCTGAATATGATCAAAATGCACTATATGAAATTCTCAAAAATCAATTAAAATATTTTTAAAATGCTACTAAAATATATTGATTCTGGCATTTGCTAGTCAAGACTAAGAACTGGTATAATCATCCTACAGTTATTGTTACAGATGAACATACTGTCTACAGTACTCGATATTTTCTATTTGTTTAAGCCTTTTTTTTAACAACAATACTTTTAGATAAAGATCATTTCTGAGGCACACAAACAGCACATCATAGCAGATTGTATTGTACCATCACTGGGCAGGATGGGACTGTTTCAATGCTTCAAGATGGACTCCAGGGTCCCTGAGGACAGCCCACTGTTTTATACTTTTTTGCATATTTCCTGCTGTAAATTGCCCACATCTGGACACTCCATCTGCTTTCACATAACGTATCTGACTGTGAACCTCCTCTGGTGCAGTCCTGGGTGGTCTGCAGGACACTGACTTCACGCTGTCTTCCATTCCTAGAAGCCCTTCCAGCGCTTGCCCTCCACTCATGCCTTCAAGGGCATCTCAGGAGACACTGCCTCTGTGCAGTCTTGCCTTTTCTTCCACAAGTCAGGACTCATTCTCTCTGTCTGTCTCTCTGTCTCTCTCTCTCTGTATGTGTGTGTGTGTGTGTGTGTGTGTGTGTGTGTGCGTGTGTGTGTATGTGTGTGTGTGTGTACTTGGGATCCAACCCAAGGCCTCCTGTATGCTAGGCAAGTGCTCTGTGCTCTACCACTAAACAATATCCCTACTCTACCTCCCATTTATGTATGTATGTATGTATGTATGTATGTATGTATGTATGTATTTGGTCTTTTTGAGACAGGGTCTCCCTGTAGCCCCAGATGTCCTGGACTCACTATGTAGACCAGGTTGGCCTCAGTCTCACAGAGATCCACTTGCCTCTGCTTCTTAAGTGCTGAGATTAAAGACGTGTGCCACCACACCCAGCCTCCCTTTATTTTTTTGAGACAAGGTTTTGTTAAGTTACCAAATCTGGCCTTGAACTTACTCTGTGGCCATGGCAAGCCTTGGACTTATGATCCTCCTGCCTTGACTTGGATTGCAGGCCTGTGCCCCCAGGCCTGACTCAGTTCTCCCTCCTCAAGCACTATGGCACAAATTTTCAACACTTTACTTTCTTACACTACCCTACATTGTTTCTAGCTGCTTACTCTTTTTTTCTCCATCCAGCTCCACCAACTTACTTCAGATAGATTCAAAGAGGCCTTCAGTCTAATTGAATTACTGTTTCCCTCCATCTTACATGGTACCTGTTTTAGGAACTCCCCAAACAATATACACTCCAAGGGGCAGGGAGGGGGTGACACTACTCATTTCATTAAATATATCTACTGATTTTTTAAAAGAAAAGTTATTTCACAATGTCTTCTCAAATTCTGACTTTATGCATCAGAGTGATAAGGATAACATGGGAGAATATATGGGGAGTTTCTGCACTGGCTGCCTTCAAAGCTGTTACCTTTCCCAGTGGCTGCACACGTTGGGGTCTTCAAGGTTCAGAGGTGATGCTGTCCTGACCCAGTGACACCACAACAAGCAGAAAAGGCTCAGGCATGTGTTTGAAGAAATAACCATTTTTTTTTGAAGAGGAATCTGCAAGAAGAAAAATATTAGAGGTGCATTAAAATCACCCAAATAGATTGTTTTCAGGAGAGCAAATCACTCTGTATCAGTTGTCACTAGGGCTGAAACACATATAGTCAGTCACTCGATTAAATAGCTGGGTCACCGGATAACAGGGTCCAGGAGAAAGAGGTATTTCTTATATTGTGCAGGGTGCTGACCAAAGGTTTTGTAAATGGCTAAAATGTGCAAATCATCAACTGCCACTATAACAAAAGTCCTTTTGATCCACAATCAGCTAATGTTAAAGGAATCCACCATTGCAACACTGAGCAACAGTCTTCCAGATTCCCTCTCCAGGCAAATTTCCTTCTAGAAGAAGAGGGCCCACAGGAATCTAGCCTCATTTGTCCCAAGAATGCATGGTGAAACAGAAGCTCCTTTGAGCATAGAGAGAGGCACCTCAGGCTCAGTTCTTCATTTCTGCACACCAGAAGCCCACCCAATCCTAGGCACTCTGGCAAACCACACAGAATGCAGAACTAGTTCCCTCTCTGCCCATTGAGGTGCTTGGTGGCATGACACAAGTTTATTTGATGAAATGTTTCAGTTTTTCCATCCATTGTATAAAACCAAATCAACTATCTTATAGTGGTTTCTAAAAAACGTTAATATAGAAAAAAAAGTATAAAGCTGTTTAGAGGTCAGCGCTGGAGAAAATGAAACAAAAGACTACAAAAGCAATGCATATGGAAGCCTGGAAAACAGGCAGGCTGGCAAACGGAAGCAGTAGAGCTTCCAGGGAAAGGGGTCCAGAGGTGAGGGGCGTCTAGGTGCATTTAGGGAGCACAATTAATTCCAGTGTGAGAAAAACAACAGCTAGAATAGAGACTGGGGCTCTATCGCAATAGAGTGTGTGAGCCATTCTAAAATAGGGGCTTCACCCAGGGATAATGGGGAGCTATTAAGGTGCACAGAGAGACACTGGAAGGATCAGTCCCTATAGCAGTGTCTGTCAGGGGAGGTCAGATTATCTACCACTAGGGGTGAGCTACAAGGCAGCATTGGCTAGCAGGCAATCTGGAAACATTTTTGTAGATAGAATCAACATTACTTGGTGACCAATAAGAGTGCAGAAAGGTTTGGGGTTTGGCCCCTTGGGGTCAGCCCATCATTGAGTTCAGTTTACAGATATCAAGGTTGAGGCTCATATTAAGTATTCAGGCAAAGCCATCCATAAACACTTCCCTCCTTTCCTCCCTTTCTCCCTCCTCCC